CAAATTGAGAAGGTCTATGCTGCACATTGGTTTCCAATGGGTAATGAGTTGTTGAACCCAGAAATAGATGGTCCAACTATTATCCCAAATGCATCTTTGGTTCGTACACAAGGTAGACCGAAGTCTTCAAGGATACAGAATGAAATGGATTGGGTTGAGTCCCAACCCACAAGCAGTCAAACTAGATGTAGCACCTGCAAGCAAATTGGTCACAATAAACGTACATGTCCTATGAGGATTAATCCTAGCTGAACCAATGTTGTGCATGTATTTAAGGTCTTTTGTAAGAGTTCATGTAATTCTGTTATGAATTTTGATGTTACTTTGTGTTACTGTATAACTCATTATGTAATTTGACATTTCATTTCTAAGTCCATTATCTAACATTGGTCCATATTGATAGATTGAAACTCATAACTAATACTAATATTACCAAAAAATGAAATCACCAAGTTTCGGGGAGCGTAAACAAACGGTTTGGGGTAATACGTACCCAATCGCATACGAATCCTGTACAATACTATTTTGTACCTGAAAGTGTGTTCCCCAAGTCATTATATGCGTGTACATTGATATTCGATCGGTTCCGTGCCAAAAAAATGCGTGCAAAACAGAATAGGGTGTCAAAACCAGTTATTTAGTCGAGCAACCTGTACTGGTTTAGTCGACTAAACTGTGTAGTCGACTAAACCAGTACAGGTTGCTCGACTAAATAACTGGTTTTGACACCCCATTCTGTTTTGCACGCATTTTTTTGGCACGGAACCGATCGAATATCAATGTACACGCATATAATGACTTGGGGAACACACTTTCAGGTACAAAATAATATTGTACAGGTTATAAACCACGAATGTACATGTACTGCATAAATCTTGGGTTAGGGTATCCGAAACTTGTGTTCTTCTTTTAACTCTGTTATGAGCACCTGTTCTGAATTTCATTGGACATTTTAGACCCGTTGGACTGCGATTAGACACAAATTGAAAACAAGAAGGTAAACCATAATATTACATAAACTACAAATGTCAAATAGGAAGACCGAAGTCAATTACATAACAACATACACTACAAACGTAAAATAGAAACATAAACCCTAAATCTAATCCTCGTCCTCCTCGGACGCCGTCTCCTCGTCATCCTCATCTGACACATCAGCCCCCTGCCCTGCAACATCCTCAATTTGCTGTCCTCGTCCAAGCTCTAGACGAGCAAGCCTATCTTCAACACCCTTGAACCGTCCCTGTATATGTCTAAATCTTTCATTTCCCTTCTGCACGTGACTCTTCCTCCATTTTTTGTGTTTCAGCTCCATCTTTCCTATTTTCTTCAGCGTGGCGTTTATGCCCTTCATGACATCACGTAATGAAAACCCACCCTCAGGCTCAGCTATCTCCTGCTGGTCACCCTCATCATCATCGTCATCATCATCCTCCACCTCGGGCTCAACCATGTCTACAACTGGAGCAACATCAGGAACCTCAACATCAGCCGCACCTGTGAACTGCCACACTCCTGTTTGGGGGTTCTTTGTCATCTTGCACTGCTCCAGTAGACGTTTTCCAAACTTATGATTATACCTTGTGGTCTTCTTCAAGGTCACATTACCCATGGGAACATCGAAATGCTCCAATATCCTCTGAACAAGACAAGCAAATGGAAGTGCACCCTTGTGTTTGGCCTTATACATCATCCAACAGATGTAGTGCCTCCAGTTCACCGAAGTACAATGTCGGATAGCCCACATGATGGGAATGTCATGCTCCAACACCCTGGAATGATTGAACGCTCGCGGAAACAGAATGTGGGTGATGACATAGTGTAGTATGCGGGACTCCATAGTAAGCAACCCCACCGTATAGGCAATGTGTTGCCCACGGACTCTCCTCTGCTCCTGCACGGCATCACCGCGTGTATATCCTGGAAGTATGGTCCCGCTGTCTGCGTCATATTCCACAGTCTGCGCAGAATCAAAGTCATACCCCAGTAACTCCAACCATACCGGAGCCGTCATGATGATCTCCAACCATACCGGAGCCGTCATGATGATCTCCACCCCGCAGACCCTAGACCTCAGCTCACCCTGATGGTAGCTGAGGTTATGGTAGAAGGCCCGTACATGCAGCTCAGAATATGAACACGACAGTTCAGCCAAGGTCCTAAGATGTGATTCCTTCAACCACCTCACAATGTTAAAAACCTTCTTGTTCAAAAAAGGCTGTATCAAGTGATTTGGCCCCACAAATCGGTCGGTTAACAAAGTCACGGACAAAAGATTCATGAACCACCGGGTCATTCTCGAACAAGTATCCGAATGGGAGGTCGACAGCAGCGGGGTCTTCCTCTTGTGGCCTTGACGAAGACGGACGGTCTTGTCGTAGCTTCTGTCGTCTCTCATTTCCAGTGCTAGACGATCTTCTACGGCCAGCCATGGGAACAACTGTACCTACAATGCAAGTGGAAACAAAAATCAATGAACAATAACAATATCAAAAAATTTAAAATTCAATATAAAAAACAAAACCTAATCCTAAAATAAAACATAAAACAGAAACCCTAACCCTAACCCTAAAACAGAAACCCTAACCCTAACCCTAGCACATCACAAAAACCCATTCCTTGCCCTAACACTACAACCCAAACAAAACAGCAACATAAACCCTAACCCTAACCCTAACCCTAACCCTAACATAACCCTAACCCTAAGCCTAAGGCACCACATCAACCCTAACCCTCACCCTCACAACAAACTTAGCACCCTACCCCTAACCTAAATCCACAAAACCGCAAACAGAATTCAAATGCATGGAGAAAACAAAAAAAAAAACTAAACTTAAAACCAAATGCAAGTCAGAATACGTTACCTAAATGTCGATTTCGCAAATGTGAACCAAGGAAGCTTCAATCGCACCTTCAAGGGTTGAGATTCGAACTTGGTTGGAGAGAGGGGACGGAATGTAGCGATTTAGTCGATTAGGGTTTGAAAATAACTCCCTTTGCGAAATGGGGGGTTTTTAAAAAACCTGATCTGCGACATTTAGTCGACTAAATAATGTGCTTAGTCGACTAAAAGTGCAAACAATGTAGTCGATTAAGGTTAGTTTTTAGTCGACTAAAATTCGCGTTTCATGATTTCTGAGTTTAGCCCATTTAGTCGATTAAAAGTGCAACTTAATCGACTAAATGGGGGCAAGATGGTGGATAGTTCTGGGGGAGGGGCAAATTGGTTATTAATTATTTAATTAGGGGCAAAAGGGTCAAAAAGCCATTATTATTATTATTATTTTATTTCCGTGTCTACAAAAAAAGAGAGCATAAATTCATTAAGTTACGTAATATTTAAAATTATTACATAATTTTTATTTGAGTGCAATCTTTTGGAATCTCTAAAAATTTCCCGCCCCCTCTCCTGTTTGTCTAAAAAAATTTAATCCCCTTGGGAGCATTTTTTCTAGCAAATTAAAATAAATATTAAATTGTTATTATTATTTATAAATTTGATGTTTTTGAATTTGTTAAGATTTCAAAAATGCATCGTATAAATTAAAATTATTTACTTTTTTAATTATTATTTGACTCCATGAATTTAATGTCAAAATAATAATCTTAATTTAGTTAATTTATCAAAATAATTGTTTAGATTTGACAAATTAGGAAAGAAAAAAAATCAGGGTTTGCTTTTTCTATAGTTACTGCAGATAGCTTATCTGCAGTAAGCTCAATACGACGTCGTTTTAGACAGAAATTATGATATTTTTGTAATTTTAATTTATTTCAGGGTTATAATTGTCTTTATATTTATAATTTTTTAAAATTTCAATACAAAAACGATGTCGTTTTAGGAATAAATGCAAGTAACTTATTTGTAGTAATTGTAGAAATATTTTTCCCAAAAATCAATTATAAAATTGTTATTAATGATTTTTGAATTTATAGGAATTTTAAATATGATCACATAAATGATAATTATTTATATTAGTAATTATTATTTGATTTAATTAACTTAATACAAATTTTCAATTTAATAACAAAATAATAATGTCAATTTAATACAATTTATGTGAAGTGGAAAGATAGGGCGACAGAAGAACTGAAATTTAGGACGAACAGATAGGATTCTGTCACATGGCAGAATCCGGTGAATCTCGTTGCTGAAGTTAATGTGATTGAAAAAACGTGGTATATTGGAAAAATGTTTCTATGCCATGACACTTGGGTAAATAGTTTGAAAAAGTGTGGTGCATTGGTACTTGTGCAAGTTATTTTCATCCCTCAATTTAACTAATTAGAGAAACTTCTTTATGTGCTATTATTATTTCAATTTCTTAATAGTATTTGAACTTCAATTTTTCCCCCTTCTGTGATCATGATGATATGAGAAAACTGATATTTGATCTTTATGATGATCATGATTTATGTGATCAGCTTGGAGTTTTTGAGATGTCACAATCAGGACTCCAGGCAGTTTCAAATGCCAGTGAAATATTTCTCAGTGAACAACACGACGATTCAGATTTTTTAGCTGGGGTAGCTATCGCTGTAATAATGGATGGTTCAAGAACTTTCTTGATTGAAATTCAGGTAATTTTCTTTTGTACTATTATTGTATAAAAAACTGTGATGTTGCTAAGTCCATTACGTACTTCCTTCTATATTCAAAAAAATTCTTGAGAAACATCACCATCACCTTGTCATTAATTGTGGATTTATCTTTGGTTTGTAATCTTCGTAAGGTTGTGTTGACTCGATCTTTTTTGGGGTGTTTTTCCCCCCTAGATTGCCAAAAAATAAATAAATTTTTTTTTGGATATATTGCAAGCAATTGCAAGATGAGTCTGGCTTCAATGTTTGTGATAAACACACTAATAGCAGTTTCCAGATTTTGGATGGTGATTAACACATTAGGAAATTGATCGTTTCATGTGTTATTTAACATAATAATCAAATCACGATGATGATTTTGTAACTTCCTATTTTTATAAAAAAAATTTCTCTTCCCTTATCACTATTGATCCACCCTTGTATGGTTTGAATTCTCTCACATAACATGGTCATGTTAATTAACACATTAGAGGATCTACTCCCAACACATGATGATGAGGCCTTTCAACAATCTTTACTTATCACCTGGACACCTTCTGTTAGAACTTATATTGTTTTGAATTCTCAATGCCTTAATCACATTATTGTGTTTATGTATCTATGTTTCTTCTTCCTCTTTATTATATTTTTATTCCAACATCCTTTAAAGAAATTATCTAGACTATTTTTCAAATTTATTCTGCAGGCACTTTGCCTTTCAGATTGCCCAGTACCAGCTTCAGCTTCAGGGCTATTTACTGGGATCCAAGCAAATAGAGCTAATTTGATCAAATGTGTATGTTTTTGATGATTTACTCACAATCTTATCCTTGCTTTCATAATCATACCATATGGTCAATTTTCTTTTTCCTTTATCTTCATGAGAAAATGAATGAAAGAGATGATTGAGGGCTTATTGATTCTCTTGTTTAAAATATAATCTACGGCATTGAAATTTGTTCAGTTGTGCATTTTACACTGTTCCTGGAATTGTAGGTTCTTATAAAGCAAGCCGGTCTTCATCTCCAAGAAAATGTAAGCTGATTTATAAATGCAATATATCCTATCAAGTTTTATCTATGTATTGCCAGTGAGTGGGTTTCACATGTTTTGTTTCATCATAATACACATATCATGTCAATATTGATGATTTCACAGAATTGAATCAACTAAATTATAAAGATGAAAATTAAAAAAATCGAAATATAACACTAGAAAGCTAATTTTTAATATGGGAATGTAAAAAAATGTGCCCATCTTTTCACTAATTATTCTTAATTTATTGATCTCTTCTTTTGATTTCAAGGGGGAAGAAAACAGATAGGCTCAGAGATCCACTCATGACCCGACAATAAGGGCAGTGACTAGCACATAAGATTGACAAACTAACCTAGCAAGCCTTTAGACCATTTACTGAAATTAAAAGAAGATATGTAATATTTTTTTTTAAAAATGGAGCAGAGTTTCTTATAAAACTAGGACATCCAAAAAGTACAAACAGTAAATAAGAGCTTAAATTCCACAAGATTCATCAACACAAAATCAATGGAGTTCACAAAATCAAATTGAAACCTAATCATAACGTTATCCATTCATAACAGTATCATATGGTCGAATCATAAGTACCCCCTGAAGATCGATAACATACATAACAAAAAAAAAAAAAATACACATGTGGATCCTGCTTGTAAATAACTGTTCACCGTAACCAATAATCCAAACCAAAGAAACATCTACTAAATTCGCTTACTAGGACAAGTGTGGGTCCACCAAATGTAGAATTCAGTCTTTCAAAGACTGATTTGAACTAGACACTATCTCTTTTCCTTAATCTGGCAAACATAATTTTGGAATTGAGTGATATAACTCAGTGAACAACCAAGATCCACAGCAGCTAAACAACTTCCAACAAAATCATGGCTTATCCATAAAAACTGAAAACTACATCTTAAAACATATTTTTCATGAATTCGGGTGATTAAGCTACTCATTTGTTTTCCATGAAATAATACTGTCAGAAAAATGTTACATATTATGTATTTAATTTACCAACAACAACCGATAATAGTCAATTATAACCGAGAACTGCTCAATCATAACTTTAAAAATCCCTCAACATACACGGTCATAAAAATAAGTTAAAATTCATTTGTTGTCTTTTACAGTAATATAGCATACCCAGGACTCAAGACGTAGCCTTTGAACATTCTCTATTTTGTGGCACTTTGTTCTCTGCATGTCAAAGTGTCAAACAATCGTATTTGTTCCAATCCCAAATTATATAGCATGGTACTAGTAACTTTTACTAGTTGGGACTTGGTGTATAATGAAGGTTTGCTGAGGCTAACAACTACTATTGTTAGTTGCAGTATCCTAAACATGGTTTCTCACTCAAAACTGAAAATTTACATTTAAATAAAAATGCATTTCTAGAAGTGATCCAATAATGTATCATATCAATCCGTCTTATAGAAATTTTGGTGATACACATTCAAACTGTTAATCACAACAGAACAAGTAATTCATTTATGTTGTCATTCAGATTAGCACTGTCAGACAGAAATGACTTAAAGAAAAATCTTGTCCGGTGACCAAAAAAGAAAAAGCTTGTCCCAAGATTTTATGGAACTTCAACGTCAACATCAACATCACTTTTATCCCAAATTAATTGGGGTCGGTGGCAGATGAATCCAAATAAAAGATACGAAAGGGTTGAAAAATAAAATAAAAAATAAAAATAAAAATAAAAATAAATAAATAAAATAGTGATAAAAAATATATATACATATATATATATATATATATATAAATATATAAATATAAATATAAATATAAAAGTGATGAAAGAAGGGGAAAAGAAGAAAAGGGGGGAGATGAAGAGGAAAAAGGACTAAAGGGACCATCTGGAACTTCAATTGTTAAAATTTTTGAAGATTTGAAAGTGTGAAAAAACTCTAATAATAATAATAAACAGATTCAGTAGTTGTCAAATAGTTTAAAAAGCAAAATGATTGAAGGATATTTTCTAGCATTAAACTAAGGAAAATAGACACTAAAAATTTATGAAGCACAAAATAGAATATGAAATTAGATACTCACAACCAGTATGCATTTCATCTTGTCTCACCAAATACTCTTTGGACATGGAGATGCTGCCTGGGTTATACAATCCATTCCAAAGTCCAAACCGCAAAACAATTATTTCTATGAACCCACTTTGTGCAACCTACCAGTAAATCCAAAAATCCTCGAAATGAACCCTATAAACCTAGATTAGTTCCTATCCCATCCAAGTAGGAGCCTTAAGGAAAACTTACCTCAAGAAATAAGCCAAGGGAATGGATATTTCTTGGGTGTGCCCTTGTTCCCCTATTGCGCCAACTGCTATGTGGCTACCAAATGCCCTTGTTCAACTGTTTCGGTTCCCGAGGCTTGAGTAAAACAAACGTGAGTAACAAGCAAGGAAGGACAGGCCTTTTTCGGAGACATAATGGGGGAGGGGGGAAACATTTGGTTGAGGAGGAATTTTTATTTTTATTTTTGGTTTGGCCTTATAATGTCGTAGTGGAATAGAAGAAAAAGACTCTCAAAGGATATTGTTTCCTAAATAGCCATTAATTCTAAAAATTTACTTTAACCATCCTTTTCTTTAACAGAATACTAAAGCCTATCTCATATTTTTCTTTGGGAGGCGGTAAGAGTATGATCTGCAATCTGCATCTTTTCTCTCAAAATTAAAAGTGCAGTGATTGGATTATAACAGTGAACTTAAAAGGAATTACTGGTGCCAACTGCAACAAATAGTTGTTTTCACTTTTGGCTTGTCTTTCAAATCTGTACAGGTTCATCTGGAATTTCACAGCAAATTTTTTTGTGAATTCTCATCTTCCAAAACAGTTGTCCATAGTTTGTTATTTAACTTGTTATGAAGTCCATAGTTTGTTATTTAACTTGTATTGTATTCTTATATTCTATTCCCTTGTCTTGCCTTTGTACAACAGGCTGTGTTTTTGAATGTTGTTAGTGGATTGACCATGACTGAGACAGCTGGAGATCTTGCAATAGCAGCTGCAATTTGCAGCAGGTTCATGTTCTAATTTATTTGAAATGATGTTGAATCCTGTTAGCCGGTAATGCAGAATGAAACATATGGATTGAGAAGGTTATTGTTGACCATTCCATGCTCCTTGTTTGGAGAAATAATTCTTACAGCCAAAGTCTAATAAGTTAACCAGGACTATTACACTGTTGTATTCTTATCCACTTCTTTTCCAATATATTATTCTAGATTTTAATTTTTTGTTGCATTTATCTATTATCTTTGTTGTCTTTTTTCCTATTTCCAGTTTCTTGGAGTTCCCTATTCCAAAAGGCATTGCATTCATTGGTGAAATTGGCCTTGGTGGAGAGCTTCGCATGGTGAGCATGTTCTTTTTAATGTTAAATATACTTGAGATTGAATAATAGAATAATGGTATATTGAATAATTGTGTGTTATAATATACAAGAGCTCTTTATCTAAAGAGACTAAAAGACTTAATAGGCTAAGCCCACAAGATGTGGGACTATTCTATTATATGCACTGAACTATTCTAACAACTACTCTAACACTTCCCCTCAAGCTGGTGCGTATATATTATAAGCACCCCACTTGCCACAAATGTATTCAACCCGAGGATCTCTAAGAGCTTTAGTGAAGACATCCGCAAGTTGATCATTGGAGTTGATAAATGTCGTTTTGATTTCTCCTGACTGAATCTTTTCTCGAGTGAAATGACAATCGATCTCTATATGTTTGGTTCTCTCATGAAATACAGGATTAGATGATATATGTAGCGCAATTTGATTGTCACAAATGAGTGTCATGGGTTGTTTCTGTTCACAAAGATGGAGCTCTCGAATTAACTGTTTTAACCAGATTAGCTCACAGATAGCAACTCTCATTGCACGATACTTGGCCTCTGCACTAGAGCGGGCAACAACAATTTGTTTTTTACTTTTCCAAGAAATCAGGTTTCCTCCAAAGAAGACACAATAGCCTGAAGTAGAGCGCCTATCCGAGGGTGATCCTGCCCAATCAGCATTTGAATAATCACAAATTTCTGTATTTCCCTGATCTGAATATAATAAGTCTTTTCCTGGTGCTCCTTTGATGTACCGGAGGATCTTTATAGCAGCATCCCAATGAGAATCACAAGGAAAGTCAAGGAACTGACTAGCCACACTAACAACAAAAGAAATGTCCGGCTTAGTCACAATGAGACAATTAAGCTTCCCAATCAACCTCCGATAATGTCCAGGATTAGATAATGGCTCTCCCTGTTCGGGTAGTACTTTGATAGTAAGATCCATGGGTGTATCAACCGGCTTACACCCCAACATACTAGTCTCCTCTAGGATATCCAAGGCATATTTTCTTTGACAAATATAAATCCCCTATCTAGACTGTGCCACTTCAACCCCTAAGAAGTAACGAAGCTTACCAAGATCTTTCGTTTGAAATTGACTAAACAAATACTATTTTAACTGGTGAATCCCAGCTTGATCACTTCCAGTGAGAATAATGTCGTCAAAATAGGCTAACAGATATATGCACTTGTTAGGAGATGTGAACCTATAAATCACAGAATGATCGACCTTAATGCGGATTAAGTCAAAAGCCTGAATGGCAGAACTGAAACGGCTAAACCATGTCCGAGGAGACTCCTTGAGGCCATATAAGGACTTATGAAGTCTACATACCTTCCCAGACTTCCCTTGAGCAACAAACCCAGGTGGTTGCTCCATGTAAACCTCTTCTTGTAAATCACCATGAAGAAAAGCATTTTTAATGTCTAGTTGAAGGAATGGCCAGTGACGAACAACAATGAGGGTAAGAAACATGTTAACAGATGCCATCTTAGCAATAGGAAAAAACGTGTCACTATAGTCAAGATCAAAAATTGAGTAAAACTCTTGGTGACTAAGCGTGCCTTGAGATGATCAACATAGCCATTAGGCCCAACCTTGACATTAAAGACCCACCGGCAACCAACAATAGACTTTCCCGGAGGAGGAGGAATAAGATCTCAAGTGCTATTGAAATGAAGAGCAGTCATTTCATCAAGCATTACTTGGCGCCACCCTGGATGGGAAAGTGCTTCACCTGTGGAGGTGAAATGAGGAATAGAAAGACAGTTATAGCTTAAAAAAGTATAAAGAGGATAAGGGTTACGAGTAGTACGTATACCTTTTCTTTGGGCAATGGGAAGAGCCTTTGGTGTAGGAACCGGAGGGTAGGGGTGTTAACGGGCCGAGCTGAGCCGAGCTTTGGCCTTAAAAGGCTAAGCCTGTGTTTAAATGTGTCAGCCTGATCAAGCCTGTTACCTGTTATGAATATAATTATCAGCCTGTGGTCTGGTTTATTTACAAAAAATAAAAGTCTGGTTTAGCCTGTTAGTCTATATAAAAAAAATAAGACAACAAAAAATGTCTGTTTTTACGTTCGACCACCTTATTTTGTTGTGGGGTGAGGACAAGTGGTCTGGTGTAAAGTACCTTTTGTAGCCAAGGAATTAGAAAAGTCAAAAGAAACAAATTCATTATCACTATGTAGAATACGAATAGAAACACCAAATTGAGTGTGAACCTCAGCAGAGAACTTTTTATAAATGGGGAATAACTCAGAACAATTTTTCATTAGATAAATCCAGGTACAACGGGAATAATCATCAATAAAAGTAACAAAATGCCGAAAACCTAAAACAAACAGTACGACTTGGACCCCAAATATCTGAATGAATAAGAGAAAAAGGAGCATCAGCTCGTTTATTGACTCGACTGGCAAAGGAGGAGCGTGTGTGCTTCCCTTGATGACACGACAGACAATCTAAAGATTGAATACTAGATAAAAGCGGAACCATCTTTTGCAATTTTGAAAGACTTGGATGATTGAGGCGACTGTGGATAAGTTGTGAAAATTTTGTAAGAGAGCTTGCCACTGTAGGACGAGGTACAACCAGATAATAAAGCCCTCATGACTCACAACCCTATCCAATCATCTCCCTCGTACCGGGATCCTGCACATGAACATAATGGTTAGAGAAAGTAATGGTGCAAGTGAGGGAGTGAACCAATTTACTAATAAAAATTAAGTTATAAGGGACGCCAGGGATGTAATAAACAGATGTCAAGGTCAAGGTAGAGGTCGGATGAGCTTGTCCAATCCCACAAACTTGGGCTTTGGTTCCATCAGCAAGGGTAAAAGAAGGTAAATGATCAGAGTAAGTAAGAGACGTAAATTGTTCCTTATTACCACAGAGATGATCGGTAGCACCTGAGTTAAATATCCAAGGGCCAAGTGATAAAGAATGAGAAATACAAGCAACCAGATTACCAGTATCTGCAACAGAAGGCTGAGACTAAGGAGAAGCCTTCCTGAGAAGAGTCTCAAGTGCTACATTGTCTGTAGGAGAGAGACTAAACCAGATGAAGGAGTATCTGACTGAACTATATTCGCAGCATAAGAAGGTCGCATGTGAGGATACTTTGTGTAACAACACTCCTCATAATGACCAAGTTGCTGACAATAACTACAACGAGGTCTTTGACTACGTTCACTGTTCCCGCGAGAGTCAGTACTGGAAACAAGAGCAGTGGAATAAACAACAGAAGATGAATCAGGAGGAGGAGATGATTCTACAATTACGAACGCAATAAAAACTTGCAGAACAAAGCAAATAAAATCAACCGAATAACCGAACAAGAAGGAATACTTGTTTTCGGCGATGAACAGTAACTCTAGAAACTCTAACAGTGATTGCACGGACGTGAACAGTAACTATACAGACCCGATGAATAATGACCGTACGGGCAAGATGAACAGTGACGTCAATGAACAGTTGCAAAACAAGCCGGAGGGACGCACGACGTAGAGGAAAACTTGCCGGAAGGACGCAAGACAAAGTAAAAGAGAATACCTAAATAGTGGGCTTAGGGTTTTAGTGGAAGCGAGGGTCCCCAGAACAACCAGCTCTGGTACCAACTTGAGACCAACTTGAGATTGAATAATAGAATAATGGTATATTGAATAATTGTGTGTTACAATGTACAAGAGCTCTTTATTTAAAGAGACTAAAAAACCTAATGGACTAAGCTCACAAGATGTGAGACTATTCCATTATATACACTGAAATATTCCAACAACTACTCTAACAAATATTACTACTTGCCACTATGACGTTTAAAGGCCAATTTAGAGTTTTCAATAGGGTAGCGGTGTGCTGACCATTATATTGACGAGCTTAATGATACCAACTTTGCATCCGATTTCCAGCTATGAAAGCCTTTTCTTTGTGAGATTTTATGGTCAGTTGCCTGGGATCTCACGTGTTCTTTCTTTTGTGGTATATTCAGATTTCTAAATAGTAATGAAATTGCTGCAAAATAGTATTACTGAACTCTGCTGTTTAGTGTGGAATTGAATTATCTAGACAGTTTTAGTTCGGAAAAACCATAACATGATAGGGCGAAGTGGAGCATTTTTACTGCTTCATCCTCACACTTTGCATTAGAAATTGACTTAGATTGATTGAAACCATGCAACCTAGAGTAAAACCTAGGACGTCGTATCCAGTTGTATCAAGGGATCTTAAGCTTCGATACTTTTGCATTTGTTAAATATGTGGTAATTTAAAACAATGCCTTTTTGTCTTTGCTTTCTAATAACTGTAACTTGCTTGTATTCATTCATTCAAAATTTAACGAATTGTTTGTTTTATTTATTTTATCATTCCTTGGCTTGGTGGGTTTATTTCATGATACAGGTTCCTAGAATTGAGAAAAGGGTGTATACAGTGGCGAAGTTGGGTTACAGAATTTGTATAGTACCGAAGCAAGCTGAAAAAGTTTTAGAAACTGAAGGTCTAGAAAAGATGAGAGTTGTAGGTTGCAATAATCTGAAAGAGGTTATTAACACTGTATTCACAAGAGATAACTAAAAGAAAAGATGCTGCTACTGTTGTGCAGATCTTTCTTTATATTTATCTTTACTTTCTAAGATGTAAAATTTGACTATCAAAAGTTTATAAATTATAAATATTGATGTACTCATTATAGTTTAAATACCGCAAGGCAAGAGATGTACCGATTTGGTTTTATCTTGTGTGAATTATCTAATTTGTTCTTATGTGCATTAAATTTGCTTATGAAACATGAGTTACAACATTTTATAGGCTTTATTAATTTATAACTATAGTTTAAAACGTGTAATCTCTTTTGGATATCAAAGACCTAAGTTTTAAGCATTAAAACTTGATGTTACACTTGTGCCTTGATTACGCTAGGTTTAGCCATAGATAGATGTTTCTGGATGATTCGACCCGTCTGATATATGTTCCGTTCTTTCTTCTGTTTCTTCTCCTGTGATATTTTGAGGATTCAAAAGCTAGGCTGATGGGTTGAAGCTAGTAACCTTGCCCACATCCGATCAGTTATCACGACCCTCTTCTCTCCCTCGTTTATCAGCTGCACATCCAAAACGACGTTCTAATTAAGGTGAACTAGTAGTAATGCAAGAGTAGCTTCTTTGCAAAAATTAATATAAGGTAATGCAGAAAATTGTGTCAGATATATACACCTCCAGTCAAAATAAAGGGAGAATTTGAGATAGGACCGGCCTAAGTGATTTAATATTGCACGCATAAAGATGAAAATAACCATTTAGTGTGGTTAATTGTTAATGATCACCAAGTAAATGTTTTATTTTTCTTCTTATTTTTTGTTGAAACCACCAAGTAAATGTTACGACAGCAAACTGATTTGGCAAGAGTCACCAGAACTTACATGAAATGGAATGTAACAATTTCTGCCATTAACTGGGCCCACTGTGAAGCCTGTGTATCCAGCCATTGCTCCATGAACAGCACTTTGGGCGAGAAGGGTGCAAAACACATTATCAGATGCATTACTTGGAATAGCACGGATCATGTAAGTAGGATCTGCGACACAATATTTTGATTGGTCAAAACATTTTGTTCTTTAAGAAATATACAGTTAAAAGAAGAGAGCTCACCAATGTACTTCAGATTTATAGTCATCTTTTGAAGTTTTGCAAAGTGATCCTACAGCAGAAATAAATATTTAAATGGAAAATCAAAAAAAGGAAATTCTGCAGCATGAAAACCTATTGATTCAAATAAACGATTTCTTGTTTGCATGAATTTCGACAGAAAATATACAATTCCAAACGAATGATGCTGTGATGCTGAATATCTTAAAACTTCTCTAACAGTTGAAATAACTTTATATATCTATGTTGCTATCCTGAAAGTCTACAATGAATTCTTTGTTTAATTACATCAAGTGTGGTTTTTCTAATTACCCAACTTCAGAACTGTCCACCTTACAATCGCAGGGTTATCATGCAAGAAAAACTAACACATTTAATATTTAAAAAAAAAAAAATTCCAGAGTTTTTACCTTAATTTTCTGGGATAGCCACAGACCAACATCATGAAGCAACTTGTCGGCAGAAACATCCTGCTTAGTCATAACAGATAGGTTGTTAGAAATAAGTTCCAGACCTGCTCCTTCAGCTATTACTATAACCATGTGCCCCTGTTCTTTGAGTCTTTTCTCAATGAACTCCAAGAGTCCACCTGGACCCTCAAGGTAAAAGTGTGATTCTGGAATCAAGCAACAGTCAACATCTCGGCTGGCAAGAGTTGCATACATGGCTATACATCCTGCAAGGACATGTCAATATTCGGTGACTATAACAACTAATTCAAGATATGGCAAAGATATAAGAATGTGAAAACTTCGTTTCTTCTTGTATCGCACAGACTTTTGACAATCTCAAAAAACAGAAACAACAACTTATTTTGTTATATACGTGCATGTGTTTTATCACAATCTCAACAGTTTGATTTTCCAATTAATGATTATAATCCTCACTTTTCCTTGTAAACAAAAGAGAGAATTATGAACATGGATTTGTAGAGGATAATCAAGCATCATAGCAGCTTACAAGTCCATTTTCAGATCTTCTATGCAATATTATACCATTAGGCTGAAGTTGTAAAATTACCATAGGAATGAACGAAGCTTACCACTGTAACGCCCCATTAACTTAACAAGACCAATACCATTCTCATTGCTTTCTGCTTCCACATGAGCAGAATTGATGGCTCGTTGTGCCTCTTCAACAGCAGTGTCGAAACCAATTGACTTGTCAATAACCTATTTCAGATACAGAATGGCATTAAATAGGTGATACTTAAAATACAAATCCTTTTTTTCTTTTTGAGTACAATGGCATAAGAGTGCAGATTTCCGCATGAACAATCAAAGCATCCTTACCGGGATATCATTATCAATAGTTTTTGGAATTCCAACCACTGCAACTTTCATGCCACGTCTTCTAATTTCCTGTGTAAGTAACTAAACCTAATGAGTATAAATTTAACTAGTAAAAATAATCATATCTAACAAACATGTAAAACATATGTTCTCAAAAGAGTTAATCACCTCAAAAATCATAGCTGCCTCCTTTTGAGTTTCATATCCTCCAAGAATATAAACCTGATTAATGCCCCGATCCTGAATGCTATCCACAATCCTTGAGGTATCATGGCCTCCATATGATGTCCCAAGGATGGTTCCACCACGTTTGTGGATATCATTGACAACCTTCGGTGTTAAAGGAACTGTATTTCGAGAATAAAAACCTCTATATCCTCCCTACATTTAACCAAACATTACATTATACTTCAATGAAACAAACACCATCACCAAAAACTATCCAATGCCCATAAAAAATTTAAAAAGAAAGAAAGAAAAAGAAGCTGCTAAGTGATGGTAATTGGTACATAAATAGTACCTGTATTCCCAAAACTTTGTGCACTCCATACATATGGTATAAGCCACACACTATTTCTCTAATCACTGTGTTTAGACCAGGACAAAGACCACCACATGTGACAATACAAGCATGCACTTCCTCTGAATCAAAATATACCTGCCAATCATACAAATCAGTGTTGTCTTCCCATAAATTACATCGGTGGAAGCCATGGTCTCAGTTTTGACCAAAAATAAATATATAAAGGCAAACCTTCTGAGCAGGCCCTGCACGCCTGAAATGGATCCCTCTGGGACTATTCTTATGTACAACTATCTACACAAAGGAAACAAATCCGAATAAATAACTCAGAAACACTACAAGAATAGTAGAACACTACAAAGGCAGAGAAACAAGCTATGAAAAGAGAATAAGAAAAAAAAAAAAAAAAGTAAAAAGTAAAAAATTACTGGCCTGTTGCGCCACTGTATCATCCACATGTACGAAATACTGCCTGTGGAAACATCAATTAACCAATCACAACATAGTAAAACAACACTAGAAAGAATCAAATGTTTGACACACACACAGTATCTTACTTAACAACAGAATAGGAAGGGTTGTCTTGTAACGGGTCAGGATATGTCTGCATGATCAATCAGAAGCCCACAAAATAAAAAAAATCATTTTGTTAAAAATCAAATACATATAATTGAAATAAAACAGCATAACTTCATTCAATTTTCTTCTGTTTTATGGCAAACCAAGCATCAATAGAAAGAGAGAAAGGGAGTTACAGGGAGGTCAGGGATGTAATCAGATAGATGAGGAACATCCTCAAGTACGAAGCCAGAAACTGTGGCATGAGGAGTAGCAGAATCAAGCATGTTGTTGTTGGATACTGTAACAGCAGAATTGGATTTTGCCATGTTTTTGTAGGACTCGCAAGTTTCAGTTGCACACCTGAAATCATAGGAAACATATACAAATACACAAATACATAGACATAGGCATAGTTAAGGAATTAAATAATAATTTAAGATATAATATTCATGTGGCGGACTGAGTGTCCAGAGCTAAATTATTGTCTATTTTAGGACTTTGACTTCTTCTTTTTTCCTGAAGATATTTATTCGCAAAGTTATTCTCCAATTTACATAAATCACCAACTCAAGAGTTTTTACCTTTATTTGAGACGAAAAGCCACCAATAATTTGTAATTTATATAATAAACCTAAAGAAATATTGGCTGCTAATTTCTTAACCTCAAATTAAGTAATAGCTGTCTTAGCTCTTTTATTATTACTATAATTTTTTTTAAAACTAAGCTAAATGGCTCTTCCGTAAAAGTGAAGATTAAAATGTTATTTTTTTTCCCCTAGTTTTTGTCAGCAGAGCTGCCTGCAGTTACTTCTTTTGGAATAGGGGATTTGTCACATACTTTTTTCATGCAGAGACCATTACATAATGAGTAAAAATGGGACAGAAAAATGTAGAAGAGTAAATAATGATGAATAAGAGCATGTTTGTCACCTCTCTCTTTTTTAAATTAAAAACTACTTTTAAGTTAAAATTAAGGGAAAAAAGCTTAAAAAAGAAGAAGCTAAAAGGTATTTGTTGATTATATAAAAAATTTAGCTTAAAAATTATTGATTTCAAAAAAAGTATTCATTTCAAAAAAAAGGCTGATATAACTTAAAAAAGCTCCTAGTTAACTTCTGGATTTTTTCTTCGATTCTGTTTGGATTCTCGCTTTTTTAAGCTAGAAGCTACTTATAAGTTAAAGTTAAAAAAAAAAAACTTAAAAAAGAAGAAGCTAAAGATGTTTGGTAATTACATAAAAAATTTAGCTTAAAAGCACATATTTCAAAAAAATTATTTCTCTTTCTATCTTTATAGTTTTTCATTTTTTTTAAAAAAACATACAATTCAAGAAAAGCAGATAAGAGCTTAAAAAAAACTCCTCCTAGAAGCTTTTAATTTTTTTCCTCATTATAAAAAAAGAGTTTTTTTTATTATAAGAGCTCCTCTCAAAACTTGTTTGACCTAACTTATGCTTATAAGTAGTTTCTAGCTTAAAAAAGAAAAGAATCCAAATAGACACTTCATAGTAAAACAAAAACTCTTTTTATTGTAAGAGCTTTTGTAAAAATATATTTGATCTGATTTCTACTTATAAGAAGAAGAGAAGCTCAAGAAAAAATAATCTCACAAACAGGTACAAAATAGACCGACAATGAGGCTTTTTGACCCTTTTGTCTCTCATTAATTAATTAATAACCATTTTACCTCTTATTAAAAATTATCTACCAATCTGTCCCCTCTTTAATCGATTAAATTGAAGATTTAATCGATTAAATGGTCAAAACTGACAAAAATCGTTGACTTGAAGATTTAATCGATTAAATCTTAAACTTAATCGATTAAATCTTTAACTTAATCGATTAAATCTTCCTCTTTATCATAAGAACGAACTTATGTATGGGAGATTTAATCGATTAAAGAGGAAGATTTAATCGATTAAATCTTCGAGTCAACCATTTTTGCCTATTTTGACCATTTAATCGATTAAATATTTGGCTTAATCGATTAAAGAGGGGCAGATTGATAGATAATTTCTAATAAGGAACAAAATAATTATTAATTAATTAATAAGGAACAAAAGGATAAAAAAGTCCCGATGTTGATGTTGGTCATGTATAAAAGTAAAAACTTATTTATTATCCTGCTTGATGCTTTTTATAAGCCTGTCTCTAATTTAAATGTATATGTTGACTTTATGTTGTAATTGGTTATAAATAATTGTTCAATTATTAATTAATGGGCAACGTTATTATCATTATTTATCAAAGGGTGACATGTATAGCAGCACGCTTGCAATTCATGAGTCATGGTTCATTTTATGTTTTAAATTAGGGTTTTATTAATCTCCTTCCACATAAGATAGTTATCTTATGTGGCAGAGAGAAAATGGATGGGCATCACTGCTCCCCCGTACTCTGGATTAGTCTCATAGCCGGCTCAAAGAGTCGAAGCTCGTGGGGATACCGGAGGGAGCCAACTCGCCTCAAAGAGGTAATTAGGGTTGGGTAACTCCAAAAAAAAAAAAAAAGAGAAAATGGATGGGTCCCACAATTACAAGAAAAAAGAAAAAAGTGGGGTGCGAAAATCGAAGTGAGAGAAAATGAGATAAGTTAACTCATGTAAAAGGAGAGTAATATTTCCCTTTAAATTATGCCTTAAAAAAGACTCATTTGTTGCCCATACCATCAAAATAGTATGACAGGGTAAACTGGCTAAAGGCATGGGATGGGCTTCTAAGTTCTAAATCATATAACTTACGCTTTAATAGCCTCTCTTTAAAAAATGGAGTTTGTATTTGTTATTTAACATGATACAACAATTTTTTTTACATTCATAAAATTTTGTGGGGCCCACACTTTTTGAAGAAAAAAGAAAAAAAATTACGGCACGCAAAATGAATCTCTATAATATTACACAATCACTTTTCCTACAACATAATTCTTATAAAACCCAAAGTTTTATTATGCATACTACGAAATCAGGTTCATTATTCGCTATGATTGATGCTTAATTATATGTGTACGTAAAAGAAAATGATGGACGAAATTATTCATATATGTGTGCACTATAGTTTCATTTCATGTTTTTGTGACGGTCGCTTCATACTCATTTTTAATAATAGTTATAAAAGTCAAATTGCGAGTCGATATTGGCCGATTTGGACAGGTTTTTCTTTTTTCAAAAGTTGTTTTTTAGTGAAAAAAAAAAATTCATTACAAAGTCAATTTGAATATTTGCTTTAAAAAAATGCATAAGTCAAAAAAAAAAGCTAATTTTTTTTTAAGTTAAAAATTTTAGCTTCTTAAAAAAGTATAAATTAAAAGTCAAATGATTTTTTTAAAACCAAATAATTTTTTAAAAATATAAATAATTTTAACTTTTATAATAAACACTTCTAAAGTAAGCAAAGTATAAAAAAAACAAAAAAAAACTTATAAGTCCATCCCAACGGACCATAGTCACCTAATGAGATCACTAATACGATAGTAGGACTGAAAATTTTCGCCTAAATAAATTAAAAAAAAAAAAGATTGAATTTGATTGGAAAGCATTAAACCTTTTAATTGCATTGATCAAATGATCGAGTCATTGTACAATATTAAAATATTATACCCACTTAAAATAGAAACACACCAATTCAACATTTATATTGATTTTATTGTCAATTTCTTCGTAAATGCTATTAAGTAAATGAATTTATATGCAATTAAAAATGGGGAAGGATATTGTGACAACTAAGTTGTGTTACTACCAAGTGACTACCAATCAATCTCACCGTTAGATCGATTATGTTGATCCAACGGTTATATTTATTTCCATCTTTGTATGGTCATGATTCCCCATATTTAAAGTGAAAGCATTAAATATGAGAAATCATAACCATACAAAAGTGAAAATAAATATAAAGTATTAAATTTGAGAAATCATGATCATACAAAGATGGAAATAAATATAACCGTTGGATCAATATAATCGATCTAACGATAAGATTGATTGGTAGTCACTTGGTAGTAACACAACTTGACAATATCCTTCCCCATTAAAAATAGAGATAAATTAGTTTATCTATTTTTTTCTGTCTATCTTTATCTACCTCTAAAATATCATTAGATCAGAATTTCAACTAACATTTATCTTTCTCTCTCCTCTTGAGATTTTGATTTAACAATGTTTGAGAATGATAGGCAACAGCAGGTAAAATAACTTATCCCATAAAAATATTATTGAACAATACATACAATTAATCATGGTTTCAATGATTTTTTTTTTAACATAAAGTGAAGTTCTTTCTTCATTGACAACACACCGTTAAACTGAAACAAATTTTAGAACCATTTAAATAAAATATTAAAACTTATATCTGGGCACTAGTAATATAGTATAGGTTTAACATATCTATTTAAGTTGCAATTTTTTTTTTCCTACCACACTTATATAAGTGAGCAGATTACTATTTTTGTTTTTGTACAGTTTTTTTCTCTCTATACAGTAGTATACTATTACTAGTTAATGGTCCTTTATAATGCAAAGCATGAGAGTGATAAGCAACAATTACCACATGCAATTCACCGTTGGGGCCCAACTACACACACTTCAGGAATCAAAACTCAGAAGCCTCCATTTCTTTTTCTCTTCGACTTGGATTGATAGCAGCCACCTTTGTTGTTCAAAGCGTTCATTCTCATTCTCATAGTCAATGTCATGTACAAAGCAGCAGCTTCACGTCTCTCCCTTCTTAAGGTCACTACCATTACCGACTTCCTTCCTCAATATCTTTCTCTTCAGCTCTGGTATCCTACTCTTTTGCTGCAACTCTAAATCAAGAAACAATGGCGAATCAAGCTTTTCCAGATTTCCTCACTAATCCGAGGAATCCACTTTTCTTCACTACAACGAAAGCCCTGTGTTGGTACTGGTAAATCCAGTTCCTGATGGAAAGAACTATCACAGCTGGGCAAGAGCCTTGGCTATGGCATTACTTTCAAAGAACAAGTTAGGTTTTGTTAACGGAACTATTCTGCCTCCACCAGCTGAGGATCTAACATTTGTTGCTTGGCAAAGATGCAATACGATCGTACTTGCGTGGATTCATCGCTCCACCAATGAGTCCATTGCAAGATCCATTCTCTGGATAGACAAGGCGCGTGATGCCTAGATTGATCTTAAGGACAGATTTTCACAATCTGACATCTTTCGTGTTTCTGATCTACTGGAAGATATTTACAAAATACAACAAGGTGAAAGAACAGTTACTGATTTCTTTACTGATATAAAAAGCATATGGGACGAGCTCGACAATCTGAAGTCGCTTCCTACTTGCAGTTATGTCATTACATGTGCATGTGGAGGATATCAACAAATGAGAGATCACAGAGAATGAGATCACATCATCAATTTTTTGAAAGGTCTGAACAAACAATACTCTCATGTTCGTTCTCAGAT